TTGGGCAGGAATTGCTCCCTGTGAGGTGCTGAGGCACTGGCACAGGTTGCCCAGAGCAGCTGTGGCTGCTCCATCCCCTGGGAGTGTTCCAGGCCAGGTTGGATGGGGCTCAGAGCAGCCTGGGCTGGTGGGAGGTGCCCCTGCCTGGGCAGGGGTGAGTCTGGATGGGCTTTAAGGTCCCTTCAGCCCTTGAGAAAGCTGGAATTGTGCAGCCTCACCTTAGAATCATGAGCCTCAGACCCACAAATGCTTCTGCACTTGAGAACTATGGGTTGGAGACAGAGGTGCCATGGTCAGTCCTGGGGTGCCAAGTTCCCACTCTGTGGCACATTCAGGGAGTGGATGAGCCATCCCTTCAGCAGCTGGAGCAAGTCCAGCTGGAATAACTGGGCTCCCCAAAGGGATAATCTATCCCAAAATGTCCCTGACAAGCACTGATGTTGGGAGAGCAGCACAGGGGCTGAGGCTGGTCTAGTGAACCCTCAGTTGAGGGAATTGGTGGTACTTGTTCCACCCTGGAGACTCAGGGCTGGCAGACTTGTCCTCTCTGGGGCCATGGATCATGCCAGGCTGGGTCTCCTGTGCCAGGCACAGGCTGAGGATGAGCATCATGCCAGGCTCTTTCTCCCTGTGCCAGGCAGAAGCTCTCTGGAGCCATGGATAGTGCCAGGCTGGCTCTCCTGTGCCAGGGGAGCCTCCCATTCCCACAGCCCCAGATCTGGGGCCTCCTGCTCTGGAGTCAAGAAAAAGGACAAGGAATCCCAATTCTCTTCCTGCCCCTGGGAGGAGTTTGGTCCCTCAGCTCCAGCACTGAGGGTTCCATGACCTTCTGGCAGGAGGTGAAACTCAGGAGCCTTGGGATGGCTGGGAAATAGGGGGAGCAGGTCGCTGTTGCAGAAGAAGGGAGCACCAATCCCATGGACTGAGGGGACACAGATCACTCCTCCCACCTCTGCTGGGAGCTGCTTCCCTGAAAATCCCAGCTCCAACAGCTCTGAGCACTTCAGGAGGGCTCAGGGATTACAAGGGAAAGCTTTTACCCAGAGCTGTCTCACCCCCAGCTGGGTAAATCTGCTTAAGGGAGTGAAGGGAAGCACTCATCCCTCTGGGATGGAGGGTTGGGATAACCTCCCAGGGAGCAAATAATTGGGCATTAAGGTGGGGGATGGAGGCTCTGAGCAGCCCAAGGATCAGTCATGGCCCAGACGTCCACGTGGGGAGAAACACCGCAGCCCCTAGTGCTCCCAGGGACCCCCAGGATGGGGTCTGGATGCACCTGGCAATGGGCACTGGAGGTTTGGGGAGTGATGGCCATGCACCAGTACTGCTGTGGGAGGGGCCTGGGGGGCCAGTGCCACCAGGGCAGACTGGGAGCAGTGCACTGGGCCAGAGAAAGGACAGGGTCACATAGGAGAAGGGAACAAGGAGGAGGATAGGGACAGGGAGGAGCAAGGAAGAGAGGACAGGGAGGAGAATGGGTCCTTCCCTCAGGAATCAGAAGCTGCATGGAGCAGCCTGGGCATTGCTCACCTGGGTCTGACAGGCAGGTAGAGGTGTCCTTGTCACAGCACTGGAGTTGGGGCTCACCCCCAGAGACCCCAAAGCCACATCCTGAGCCAAACCAGAGGCATTTGGCACCAGGGGCAGCATCAGCCAGTTCAGGGCTGGTGTCAGCCCAAGGCTCAGCACCTGGCACAGAAATCACCACCAAAGTGGTTCCCAAGGCCAACACTCTCAACCCCAGCAGCAATGGATGGTGCAGTGGAGAACCTGCAGCAGGACCCGACACCCCTCTGGGACAGAGAGCTCAGGGACACAGGTGCAGGACACTCCTGCTGCCCCTGGCCCCATGCCTGTCCTGAGCAGGGCCGAGCCACTTGGGCAGGTGGTCATGAGCTTGTGTTCGTGGTGCACCTTTCTGCTGCCAGGACATGGCCAAGGCTGGTGGCACCACAACAGCCTGGGGGGGCGTCTGTGTCAGGATGGTTCTGGTTGGGCAAAGGGACCTGATGGTTGTTCCCGTGTGACCCTTCCAGCTCAGCATGCCCCACAATTCTAAGGTAACTGGGGGATAATTCCCAGTGTACTCTTCGCACTGGGAGACCAGTAAGATCCTCCCAACCCCCAGAGGACTGTCCTCATTGTCCCTTGACACCAGGTCCTGTGTCCTCTGCTGCTCCCCAATTTCCAGCACAAACCTGTGACAGTCCCACGGCTCTGGCAGGGTCAGGGGGGAGATAGGGATGTCCTGAGCACTCAGGATGTAAACTGACTGGAAATTGTGTGAACTTACCTTGAACTTGAGGCTTGTTCCAGAAGTCTGAGCCTGAAGCATGGCCAGAGCTCAACCCTGGCAGCTCCAGCTGTGGCCAGAGGTGTGAGTGGTGCTCACCTGGGCCGGTGGAGGCAGCCAGGATGCAGGGAACGATGGGATGGGTTAGGAGAGCTCATCTCATTCAACCAGAGCTGCCCCAGGTGAAGGGATGGACAGTGTCAGAGCCAGTCCCAGGTGAAGGTTGTACCATCAGAGTCAGTCCTGCCCCTGCCACCACCAGGTGACTTCATGTTGTGAACAGAATTATCACCCAATCCTCACCTGTCACCTGCTGCAGCAGCACTGGGAGGAGGAACACAGCCCAGCACAAACCAGTGCTGAAGTGTGAAGGCACTGGGACATACCAGGAGGTGACAAAGGCAGACAGAGCAGATCTACTCCTGTGCTGTGCCCTGAGCTCCCAGCACACACTTGAGTCCCCACCTCACCTGTCCCCCCGCCTGGTGAGCTCCCACCATCACACATGACCCTCTCCTCACCTGTGCCCCAGCCCAGTGACCCCTTGTGGTTCACCCTCCCTTTGACTCAGTTCACACACAGGAGATAACTCCACCTTCCCACACTTTATTGCTCCTGCAGAGGCCTCAGAACTTCTGGAACTGCTTCTTGGTGCCTGCAGCCTTGGTGACCTTGAGCACGTTGAAGCGCACAGTCTTGCTCAGGGGCCGACACTCGCCCACTGTTACGATGTCCCCGATCTGCACATCTCTGCAGGGGCACAGGGGCGTCAGGGGGTCCCAGGGCCTCACCTGTCCCCACAGCCCCAAACCTGCCTCCTCCCCTCCCTCAGGGAGCGCCTGGAACCTGCCTCGTGGCTCAGCACGTGCCAAAGGCATTGTCAGCAGCCCCTGGGGGCTCTGCAGACCATCGTGAGATTGGACATCATCACCTCAGAGCAGGTTCCACATGAGGCCACAAACCCACCCGCGTCCCACCCACGCTGTGCCCTCCCCACAGTGGCAGGAGCTCAGCACCACACACAAGGCACAGGTGTAGGGCTGCCCCAGCACACACCTGAAGCACGGAGACAGGTGCACGGACATGTTCTTGTGGCGCTTCTCAAAGCGGTTGTACTTGCGGATGTAGTGCAGATAGTCACGCCGGATGACAATCGTGCGCTGCATCTTCATCTTGGTGACCACACCTGGGCCAGGGGGGACAGGTGAGACAGCACACAGGGCTGGGGGGCGGTACCCAACAGTGTCATAGCTGACAGGTCTCACAGGAGGACCCAAAGGGCCCGGCAGGATCATTCTGGCAGCAGCACCCACCGATTCCAGGAATTTCTCCTTATTTACCCACATCCCGAGCTCTCATGCCCCCGGGGGCGCTCAGGTGTTCTGCCAGCCCAGGAGGGCACCTGTCCCCTCCCTGTCAGCCCACACCCTCCCCACTTCTGTACAAACCCAACCATGTCCCTGTTTTAAGCCCTTTTAACACATTCCCTAGAGCTGACCCACACAGCCCCTGCTCCTGCCTCACAGTCACACCTGGGGGGCCCTGCCAGCACCTGGTCCTGTCACCTGCATCAGGAAAGCCTTGTGGCAGTGTCGTCAGACCCATGGAGGGCTCAGCAGACCATCGTGAGATGTGCATCATCTGCAGCTCCAGGACCACGGGGGTTACAGCTATCTCGTGGGATGGTTACCTGCCCCAGCTAGCCATGGGGGGGCTGATTACCTGCTCAGGGGTATGGCTGAGGAGTTCTGCCTGGGCATCTGCCCCAGGGGACTCCCTGGGACTGTCCCAGCTCACCTGAGAGGATGCGACCACGGATGGACACGTTCCCGGTGAAGGGACATTTCTTGTCGATGTAGGTACCCTCGATGGCCTGCAGGGATAGGTGAGTGGCAGGTCAGGAAACATAGCTCAGGCGCCACCAGAACTGAGAGAAGACATCTTATAGCAGGGAACCAGACGGCGACAGGCCTCAAGACCACGAGTCCAACCAGTACCACCAGGGCCACCACCGACCTGTCCTCAGGGGCCACCTGCACCCCCACAGGACCCTCCCGGGGCACACCAGGGGGTCTCAGCCCCCCCGGGCCCCCTCACCTCCTTGGGAGTCTTGAAGCCCAGCCCCACGTTGCGGTAGTAGCGCGGGAGCTTCTCCTTGCCGCCCTCGCCCAGCAGCACTCGCTTCTTGTTCTGGAAGATCGTCGGCTGCTTCTGGTA